GGACGCGCGGTGCCTCTGAAGCTCAATGATAGCCTCTTCGTTTTTCTTCCCAAAGGGTCGGATTCCGAAGATGCCCAGGGGTACGTGCGGCCCCCAGGGAAGGTTCGGCCGCTTAGCTTCAGGAATAAGGACATTAAGATCATGGCATCCGCCACCAACTTCCAGATCCGTCAGGTCGCCCAAGAGCGCACCCATGAGGCCCAACAAGGAATCATCCCAGGACGCAGTTTCTTGTCCAACATCAATGCGTTGGACGCCGAGGCCCGCAAGGCCAGCATCACCCCCGAAGCTGAGGAGGACCTCCCGATCTTCGCTGCCTACGATGTGGAGGCGGCGTTCCCGTCTCTGGGCCACCAGCGGTTGTTCGATATTATGAGTAGGATTGGGCTCCCGCCAGGTTTCCGGAATTTTATCCACGCGTTATACTTTTTGCCCAGAGGCTTTGCTACCATTCAAAATCGAAGCGTTTTCCAGTTTCATCTCTGCTCGGGGGTCCTGCATGGGGTGCCCATTATTTGGGCCTTCTCTGGGCTTGCGCAATGGACCCCATCCTGAGGTGCCTGCGCGCGGCCACGCAGCTTCCGCAGGCGAGGCACCACAAGGGCTCTCTTGGGGGTTGTGCTGACGATGCCGGAATGGTGATGCCTCGCCTGCGAGGCCTGGTTGGTGTTCCCCGTGTTTTTCTGGACATTGAGCGTTTTGCCTTTCTCAGGCTCCAAGGGGCCAACTGTGTCGTGGTCCCACTGTGGGCCAAATGTACGGAAGTTGCCCAGGACAGGGTCCGAAACGAGCTTTGTAGGTGGATCCCGCAGTGGACCATCTTTAAGATCGCTGGCCACGCAGTCTACCTAGGGGTCGAAATGGGCCCTGCAGCAGCACTTGGCATGATCTGGGCTGCCGCAGCGGAGAAGTGGTGGTCGAGGACGATTGCCCTGCCATACTCTGGAGCTGGTCTGTCTGTTTTTTTCAATTCTGTACAGCACCACCGCTCTCTCGACCCTCTCGTGCCTCGCCCAACTGTTCCCCATCCCTGCCATGATTCGCAAACTCGAGCATCAGGCTTTGCACAAGCTACTCAGGCTGCCGCCGAACAGCCTCACTCGTGCTGATCTGAACGCTCTGCCATCAGTGCTCGCCATTGCCCCGTCCCCTGTCTCTTGTCTTGGATGGGCTAGCAGCTGGCGCACCTCTTTTCGCATTATGAATATCATGCATGGCAGCGTGCACTGCGCAGTTTGAAACCAAAAATAGACCCAAACCAATGCAACGATAGTTCGCTTCATTGCAGGAAAATGTTCAGCGCCTTGCTGAAAGCGCCCTTTCTCAATCGCGCAATTCATGGAGCGGGCGAGGCTTCCGCCCCCCTTTTGCTCTGACAAGCCAGGATGGCACGCAGCGTTTCGCGCAGCGCGTGAACACACCAAGCTAGCCATCCAGGAAGCCCGTCGCCCGCACACGCAGCGCATCTTTGCGCGCACGCTTCGTGCAGCCGCTTTTCATGACTCTTTCCCTGAGGCATTTGGCAAAAGTCTTCTCGCGTGGCAGGTCCCGATTCCTGGGGGGCGGAGGTCGGCGGTCGGACGGTGGAATCTCTGTCGGACCTGCATCGCGAGTCTCAAACCTGCTTGGCAATTGAGTATTATCAAGACCTTCTCCGGGTCGTGGACAACCACGCACAGACTGCACATGGGCGCCCCCCCCCCCCCCCCCCCCCCCCCCCCCCCCGCGAGCTGCATTCGGGGCTGCGCAGAGCCCGACGAGATTGCACACTACTCGCGTTGCTCGAGAATGTCTCACCATCTTGCAATGCACCCTGCCTGGAAAAGGCGACCAATGGTTATGTTGGGACTGGGGGCGGCGTCTGACTACGGGCGGGCGGGATCGGAACTCTCGCGTGAGGAGTGCCTCAAGGCAGTCGCATTGGCTTTTCATATGTACCGCGAAGCGAAAGGCTTTGCTCAGGAGACTGTCATGTCCCTGGGGCGCGCATACGGCATTCGAGGTGCGGCAGAACGAGCGATGAGATGCTTTCATCGACACTGTGCTCTGTCTTACATTCTATTTTATGGGCGGTGGATTTGCCAGGCGGTGGGACACGGGACGGGGGGGGATCGTTCGAAGAGCTTGTGGCGGCGGCACGTTGCGGTGATGGGTCTCCCGCAGTGCCCTTTGCCTCTCTTCTTCCACCTTCTTTTTTGCCTTCGAGTGCGAGGCCTATCTTTAGCTTCGAGTCTGCGTCGGGTACTTTCCTTTGCGGGCCCTGCTGGTGGCGGAAGTGGCAGCGGGTGGCGCCGCTCCTCGGGGGCCGAAAATGAATCCGAGCGCCGCCCAGCTGGGGCCTACTTTCCTTCCGCTGATGCGTTCGCGTCGACCGAGGTCGAGGCCGGCGGTCGGACGGACCTTCTTGGGTACGCCGTCTCCTCTTCCTTCTCCTCCTCCTCCTCTGCCTCCTCCTCTTCCTCCTTCTCTTAGTCGGCGTTGGTGCGCGGGCAAATTGAGCCCCGGCGGAAGGGGGGATTTTCATTGACACCATCGCGCGACTTGCGGACTCCGACAGCCACGCTGGCTGTTCCGCCGGGGCAAACTTAACCATCCTTGCAGCCTTTCCGATGCCGCACCTCCTTGCGATATTTTCCAGAGCGGCTGGGTCGTGAGCCAGCGATGGACTTCCCCGCGCCCCATCATCCAATCTTCGACGGAAGATTTGGGGGGAAAAAAAAAACGCGGGCCGCAGATGCAGAGAACGGACCCGCCGCGCCCGCGCCCGGAAACGCCAGCTTGCCAGGATTGCAATTCGTGAGCAGTCGGTTGCTCGAGCCCCGGGAACCGACATCGAGGCGGACTACAGCGAGGGCGACAACGGCCGCGCCGAGGACTTCGCCCACCCACGGGGGCTCGCCCAAGTTCACGGGATGGGCGGGCGCGCGGCAGCGGGGGAGTTTGCAGGGCTTGCTCGGCCCCACCTCCCCCCGCGCCCTGCAGGGCCCAGGTGGGGGGGGGGGGCTGCCAGGGGAGATAGCAGAGCCGCTTCGGCCCCCCTCAGCGCCTGCGCCCGCGCGGGCTCAGGGGCAGCCCTCTTCAACCGCAAGCGGATCCATCCGTCTGGAAACGCTGTCCTTGGAGATCGAAGAACACATGCGCCACTGGAATCCGATTAGCCCTGCTTTACATTCGTTTGTTCGCCGGCGAGTCAAATTGGAGGGCGCCAGTCCGATGGGCAATGGGGCCCCCGAAATTCAAAGGCAGCCGGTGGGTGCCGATGAAGAACTTCAAATTCTCATGCACGAATCACAGCATGCGAGAATGTTGCCCCAGGAGATCGAAGCACAACTGACCCAATGGAACCTGGTCGGCCCTGCTTCGCACCCGCTTGTTCACAGAAGGATGAAGTTGCCATTGACAAGTAAGAGGGGAGATGGGGGCCCAGAGGTCCGGAGGTCATTTGATTTTGCAGATGATGAACCTCGAAAACCCATGTGGAGTCCAGCAGACCTGTTGCTGGACCCAGGAGAAGGCAAGTTGTTCGGTGTGTCCGAAGACGCGCCAATCTCTGAGGCAGAGATCCTCTTTCAGAGACAACGGATGGACTCTCGCAGTGAGCCCGACGACGAGAAGGAGGTTTGCCTCAATAGCGTCTCTGGGATAAGCATGTTGCTGCAATTCTTCAATTTTACAGCAAATAGCGAATGAGAGTCTCATGTCGCATTGCAAACGCTGTGCGCAGAAGGTGGGATGGACATTGGAGTATGTGATGCAGTATTAGAACTTCTGCTTGAGAAAAGGGATTGCGCAGGGGGGGAGGAGTGGAGGGGGAGTAGGCAGCTGAAGGAATGGGTCTGTTAACAATTCCCAACGGGGGCTCCTGATGACTTCATAGTGGTTAATGAAATAACCATTGAAGGGTTTGTCATCGAAGAGCGGAACCGTAGCTGCTACGGAAAAAGCGCGGAGGGCACCATCTACGACATTATGCGGAACAAGATTGGCCAGTATCTGTCTGCGGAGGGAGTGCAGCACTTATTGGCTAACAAAGACACGTCCCTTATTTTGCCGAGAGTGGATTTTTTTTTTTCAACATGTGAAAGCATAGGGGATCCTATCAGGTTGGGAGACAAGTGCACAGCTGCCTCGCGTGAGACGGGCGAGTCGGCACGAGTTGAAGCAAAAATAGCAGGGGTCGGGCATTTCTGAGCGCGTTTGGCGCGGGATGCGCCTGTCTCGGCGCAGGAAGGGCCGTACGCACCAACGAAGGCATCTCGTAGTGCAGGCTCTTCTTTCCTCTCCCCTGCTGCTGCTGTTGCTGCCTCCTCCGCCTTCCCCCTCCCTTTTCTTCCTCGGTCCTCTTCTCTGCAGGAAGTCGAGAGGAATTTGGCTCGCGAACTGAGGCATCGGGATTTCTCTTCTTGGCGCAGGCCCACGCGCACGTGCCATCGGCGTAGGCCTTGGCATGACGTGACGGCGGTGCCGCACCTTTTGGGCTCGCAGCAGAGTCGCTGACAGGTCATCCAGGGTTCCCTGCGAACGGGCCTGCGCGATCGCCTGTGGTGGAAACGGGGGGGAGTGAGGGGTTGGGGTGAAGAGGGCAGCGTGCACGCCTGGTGGCCGGCGTGCCCACCGGTCCTTGCACAGGCCTTGGCAGTTCTCTCGATATGATGTCGAAGGGCTGTCGGGTCCTTGTTGCGTACTCTTCACACAGTGGGATTACGCGCACGCTCCACACTACACCTTAGCGGGGGCATTGACGTTGAGACCCCCTCATGCGGATGTCCTGTCCTGTCATGTCCTGTCCTGTCTTGTCCTGTCCTCCTCCACCTCCTCTTCCCCGTCCTCCTCCTCCTCCTCCTCCTCCTCCTCCTCCTCCTCCTCCTCCTCCTCCTCCTCCTCCTCCATGGTCCTCGATCCTCGATCGTCGAACCTCCAGTTTCTCCCATGACCTCGGTTCAGTTGTGCCTGGGCCCCCCCAGGCCCCCATGGGGTGGACAGCGCGACCATGAGCCGAGACGATGGGCGTCGCTGCCGTCCGCCGCCTGTCCGTGGAGGGGGGCGGCCGTGGCGACGGCGCTCTGGAGCTGCCCTGGCGCTGCTGAGGGCCCCGATCCCGGGCACGCTCTTCAAGGTCGCGGCGACACAGTCTTGTCACAGTACGCGTTTTCGCTCGGTTTCGGGACCCAGGACCATCACAGATCGATCGTGTTCGGCGCAGAAAAATGGGGTCCGGAGCTCTGGCCGTATTTTTCCATGTTATGTCTTCTCTCTACGTCGGATCTCACGGTCTCTCCGCCGCCCCCGCGCCTGTTTCCCATCCCTCATCTGATCCCACTGCTTCTGCCCTACTTCCCTACCTCCGCTTCTTCGGCCACTCCCCCCACCTCGCAGCGTCGCGGGACTGCCACGAGACGGGCCGCTCGGCACACGAGGTTGCCGACCACCTCGCGCAGAGGGGCTCTGGGGCTCGAGGGGGGACGGGGGGGGGAGGGGGGCAGGGAACCGGGAACCCAAGGTCGAGAGTGGATTCAATAAGAAGTCGGCCCGCTGGCAGGTGCCCCACGGATATTTCCTATCCCTCGATGGCCCTGGAAATCGCCCTCGGGGCACCGCAGAAAGCTCAACGATCGCCAGCACATGTGCCCCTTATGGATTTGTTTATACCGAGGTGCCTTGTGTGTCAGGCGGCTTTTACTTGGCCTCTGGAGGACTCCGCGGACCTTTGGGTGCCTCTGGCATTATTCCTTCCGTCCTGTCGTTGTTCCCCAATTCGGATTGTAAAGGCCATCTCCAGGTCCCATTAAAGGGGTCTTAGAAATCTAGGGGCACTGTATATGATTGTCGTGGGAGGTCGAGGTCTTCCCTCTCCTCCTCCTCCTCCTCCTCCTCCTCCTCCTCCTCCTTCTCCTTTTCTTGGAGGGAGGGATCAGGGCAGAAGTGAGGGAGGAGGGAGGGGGGAGGGGTCCGGAGGCTTACGAAGGAACTCCAGAGGGCTGCGGAGGCTTCCGAAAGCCGGAAGAGTCGGATTCTGGAAACCGAGGCGCGATCCGCGCAGAGCTCGCGGCCCAGGAGTCCGTGCCTCGAGGCCGTGGACTCGGACGTTGCATCCCGCCCGCCCGCACCCTCGCGAGCCGAGGCGGGGCGAGGGCGCTTTTCCTCCCCTCCGGGCGCACAGCGAGCTGCCGAGGCGCGCCCACCTTCATGGCCGCGCGCCGGCAAGCGACACGCCCGCCACTGGGCTATGGACGGCGCCCGCGGGCGACCCTCTGCGGCGGCGCGGCCGCCTGGCCGCGGTGCCCCCCGCGGAGCCTTTTTCCGAGCGCACCTTGTAGGCGATCCGGCGGGAAGGGTGGGGGCATGAACTGGTTTCGCCGGCGCTGGTTTCGCTTCGCTGCTTTCGCCGACGGCTGGTTTCGCTGGCGATGGTTTCGCCAGCGCTGGCTTGGCCCAGCTGGTTTCGCCCGCTGGTTTCGCCGGCGGCTGGTTTCGCCGCCGGGCGGGCCTTCACCGGCGGGTCGGGTTGGGCGGACGGGGCATTAAGGTGCGGGGCGCGCTCGACCGAGCACGCGCGAACCCTAACGGGCGGGTCGGGTCGGGCGGGCGGACCCTATAGCGGGCGGGCCGGGTCGGGTTGGGCGGGCGGACCCTGACGGGCGGGTCGGGTCGGGCGGGCGGGACATTAAAGTGCGGGGCGCGCTCGATCGAGCGCGCGCGAACCCTAACGGGCGGGCCGGGTCGGGCGGGCGGACCCTAGCGGGCGGACCGGGTCGGGTCGGGCGGGCGGACCTTGACAAGCGGGTCGGGTCGGGGGGGTGGACAGTAAAGTGTGGGGCGCGCACGACCGAGCACGCGCGAACCCTAACGCGCGGGTCGGGTCGGGCGGGCGGACCCTAGCGGGCGGGTCGGGTCAAAATGGGCGGGCCGGGTCGGGCGGGCGGACCCTAGCGGGAGGGCGGGGTCGGGTCCGGCAGGCGGACCCTGACGGGCGGGTCGGGTCGGGCGGGCGGGACATTAAAGTATGGGGCGCGTTCGACCGAGCAGGCGGGTCGTGTCGGGCGGGTTGATCCTAGCGGTCGGGTCGGATCGGGTCGGGCGGGCCTTAGCGGGCGGGTCGGGTTGGGCGGGCGGGGCATGAAGGTGCGGGGCGCGCTCGACCGAGCACGCGCGAACAGTAAATAAGCTCCTCTCCGCCTCATATTAAATTAAGACATAACTTAGTTTGCATGCATCGCACTGTCCGCTGGAACTAACAGCTGCGCTCCGCAGCTGTATGACTGCTCGAACAAACCAACTTTGGCTTGCAGGAGAGAAAAGGAGCGCGCCAGCCCTCGGCCGTCGTGCGTCGTCGGTCGTAGGCCAGCCGGCCTCCTGCCTTCACATTCCTGATAAAGTAGTCTTGCTTAACGGATACTTGTCTCATCAATGTCTCATCCCGTCCCCTCTCTCCCTGAGCAGAGTGAACATGAGATCTTAATCCCTTTGTCATCTTACCCCGATTCTCAGAGGAAAGACTGGTTATCAGCCGAAACGCGCGACTTAGTTGACGCGGGGCCGTCACATCCAAAAGAGGAACTTTCAAATGTGCCCCGCGACTCAGTCGCTGCGGGAACCAGCTACGATAAGATTGACATCGTGTCCAATATCTCGAGAAGCGCCGATGGGCGCGTTGCACAACATGATGGACGCGACACAAACAAGGACGGTCGAATTCAGGACCGAATCCCTCCTTCATACATCGCCACTCGGGTAGTAAGGGGCAGAAGTACCGAGGGAGTATCAGAGATGTCGGTAGACGTCTCTCCCGCGGGAGCTCCGATCGGTGATCGCGAGCAAACCCCAGGCCCGCACGGGCGAGATGGCGCAACATCAAGACCTAGACGAAGTGCGTTTTCGTCATGGAGTGCCAAATCGACGGAGTCAATCAGCCCAATTCCGAACGCTACACATGCTATCGCTACTGCCGCTGGTGAAGCCGGTCGGCCAGGGGAAGTCCAAGAGAACGTGAATACGCACCCCAGTATCCCGAACGAATGGGCGGGCATGGGTGCCAACGTTACCGTCCAAATAGCACTTAACAGACAATTTGGTCAGGACAGTGATGACCCAATTGACAAGATATCATGAAATACATTCCATGGAGGAAGATTTTGGTAGCATCAATAACGACATTTCCCTGAGCCGAGCATTGTCCGCGATGATGGAAGAAGACATCCCTGCTCAAGACGAAAGATGGTCTCCAGATGGATCCGATGAAGACACTAGTATCCTGGCGCCTTAGGCGGACAGGGCGGAGGCTCAGACGAAGCATGAGAGGGGGGGGGGTCCACGGGGCGAACCCCTGCGCCCCACCTCAAGAAACAAAGGAACGAGGACTACTAGCTAAACGTCTCACCACTGAACGAAGGTGTCTTCCGTAATGCCGCCACCTCAGGTGATTGGCAACCTTCGATTCCAGCTGTTGTTGAGGATGAAGGAATGGTCGGTCAACCAGCTACGTATGCTCAGCAAATAACACAAGACGAAAAGGATGAGGAGTTTTGAAATGCGCCTAAACCACCGGATTCCTTCGTTCGCCCCAGGTCAAATGCATCGAGCAGGGGGGGCCCAAGATGCCGAGATCAGGGGCGAGATCTACGTCGAGGAGCAATGGCGCCGTCTCCATGGTGGAGGCCCGTTGAAACCCTAACCCTAATTGCGCGCCTCGGGCGGAGAGCAGATGCCCAGGTAGAGCCAACAGGCCAGATGGCGCATGCCGGAATCCAGTGTGCAAGAGTTGCTCGGACGTTTGCCATAAGTGTAACACGCAGTGGCTGTGTGCAGAGCGTTGCCCAATGGACGAGCACAACTGCACATATCTCCTCATGCGATCCATTCAGGACCAGGCCAGGCTGGCGGAGGCTAACACTCAGAGGGAGTGTCTGACCAACGAAGCGCAGCTGGCTGAAAGGGCCCGAATGGACAGAGAAGAATTAATTGAAATTGTGGTCGAAGCTCGAAAAACATTCGAGGCTGAACGGGTCGCCCTAGCCATGGCAGCTAGAGAGCGGGAACAAGCGCCGATAAAACATCTGCACAATCAGACCGCGGCCGTTAAGCGGCAAGTGGAGCTGGAAGCCGAAAATAAATGCAGAGAATTATTGACAGCGGAGAGACAGGCCGTCGCGATGGCAAATCATGAATCTGTCGACGCCAGCGCGGTCGCCGCTGCTGTCGCGGTGGCCAGAATAGAAGGAGAACAGATCGCTGCAGTCATGGCGGGACGAGACAAGCAGAGTTTACAAGAGGATCTCAAAAACGCCAGGCTGGAAGCAGCTAGTGCCCAAGCTGTAGCTTCGAAGATAACCCGCCATAACAATCTTTATCTGGAAGAATTCAAATCGCATGAAGAAGCTAGATCTTCCCTCCAGCGCATAAAATCGAGCAATGCTAAATGCCCGCCGGCTAAGCCGACTGGAAAAAACGTACACCAATTGTCGACGGCTCAGTCGTCCGGCACCGTGCCCGTTCCAACGCAATTTGATCAGGCGACTTTGGCAAATGCGGGAGCGTCGACCCTGCTGGCGGGAAATGCGACGCATCCTCCTCCCGAGGAGAGGGGAGATACATTCTCCGTGGCCCAATTCTGCGCAGTCTGCTTTCGTCCAAAGACGGACAGTTGCGTCGGATGTGGTAGGCCGGCATGTGAAGAGCATATCGATGCAAGCACTAGAAGATGTTCTAGATGTGACTTGTGGAAGAGCGAGTGAAAGGTCAGCTGCCAACATGCGAGAAGAAGAGGTTATTTCGAACGCAGCCAATGCGGAGAAAGGAAAGATGAGGCTTGAGGCTATCATCACCGACCCGACTCCACATACTGAGAATAGCGAGAAGCCTGACTCACACCAAGTTCAATCGGCTTTCCGTTGCTTTCGCAAGAAACTCTCGTGAGGCCGTTGTTGCGTCAGCACTTTACTGTCCCAGGCCCTGCCCTAGAAGGTCCGGCTAAGCCGAGCACCGCCGAGAGTGGACTTCCTGTTGGGATGAAGCTAACTGGGTCTAACGGCGGTAATACCCTCGCCAGTTACCGCCCATCCTCTGGAGATGGTCCTACGGGAACGACGGCGACTAAGTCGTCGGGCGAGGCAGGACAGGGCGGAGAAGGGGGCGACGAGAGCGACGCTCCTAACACTGAGATCGTATCGTCACACGAAGATGATCATGGTAAAAGACCACGCGGGTCGCCTCTGGGAAGCCCAGGGGGTTCAGATCCCTCTGATGGTGGAGGTGGCCGCAGGGGGCCCGACCGCATGACTCAGTAGTAATTGACGAAAGCACGCCGTTGGATCAATGGGGGCAGGTTGGGAACAACCAGAAAATTGACTTATTGGACATCCCTGATGTAACGAACATTCGGGAGTGGCAAATGCACGCAGCACTTGCGATCGCTGGATCATCGCCCGAGAGCCAGGCTGCACAGCACTGGATTTCTGAGGCTATGAATCCAGCTGTGGAGGATGAACAACTGAAAGATGCAGGGTGATTCCAGCGTCTCGATCTCATGATCGCAACGAACGTCATCGAGAAATTCAACAAGATACGGAATAATCGATATCAGCCTGGTCATCATACTCATTTCCTCCAACAGATCACTCGTCTGGAACTCAGCGCCCAGAACGAGGGAAGACTCATGACTGGACGTGAGATGGTGCGAGCCATGTGTCATTGGTGTTCGGCGAGATCGGAGTTGGGGCAACGCCGCATTTCGCGTGACATCTTCAAGGTAATCATTGGCCCACGCAAGCCGGATGTTGACCTGCATCGCTTCTACAATGAATGGACAAACGTACATCAACAGCTTTATGGCGCTAAGCCTCCGTCCGATGAAATGAGGGCCTCGATTCATGCGCACTTTCTTGAACGATACAGAAAGCCGAGCAAACTGAACTTTGTATGCCAGTTATACGACATGTCAAAGGATATAATGGGACATGGCGCGAAGAGTTATGAATGGCTGATGGAGCAGATTGAAGAAAATATGTCGCGATAAAAAAAAGAGTGGGACATCGGCGTGCATGAGGGCACCTTGAACCAGCGTGCTAGACAAGCACGATTCGGCGGAGGCGGAGGCAATGACAACCGGAAGAATGCCGGCGGCAAAGCCGCTCCGGCGGAGATTGCTGCTAAATTGGGGAAGTCCAAAGACGCCATGAAAAGCGGAATGACTAAGGGCGAGACCACGTGCAGATACGTGCGCAAGGGCGAAACTTGCCCGCGCGCAGGAAAAGGCTGTCCCTTCAATCATAAGAAGCCCAAGAATGCCGTGCCGGCCCAGCCGAGTACGGGGAGAAAATCC